ATTGATCCTTGAGGTACCCGCTTGTTACTCCTGCAGGTGCGCTCAGATAGTCGCCAACCTTCACAATTTCTCTAAGCCCCATGTAATCCTGCATTTTGTAGCTTGATGTCTAACAACTTATGGCTGGCTGAATGGAAGGCTTTGCAGAAGTCGAGGTAGCAGACCTCGACCTGCTGACCTTCATCCAGCCTCTTAGTAACCTCATCCAAATAGGTCAGGCACGATTTTCTCTCGGTAAACCCATGCTGCGCTGGTGCCAAGAGGTTGTGGGCGGTTGGGTGCTGACACACTTGCCCCCTGATGATCCGTTCCAAGCATTTTCACAGAACGGATGTCAAACTTACTGGTCGGTAGTTGCTCACCTTATGCCTAGGTCCTGAATTGTATAGAGCAACAACAGTTGCCTTACACCAGTCCTCTGGTGAAACCCACGTCCTCACGGATTGCTCAAAAAGGACAGTAATCCGATGTGCCAGAAGCCTTGCTAGTGGTCGACCTACAGCAGGGTGTATTCTATCCAGCCCTGCAGCCTTATGTCGATTTAGTGACGCGAGTTCTCTGGCTACATCACTCTCGTGGATAATTATTTCACTAATCATTGGTGTACCTAACCGCGGTGCAATGGGCTCCACAACATCCCTTTGCACTGATTGACGGTATATGCTGTTGAAGAAGGCTAAAAGGGTGCTGCTTTGTCTTGGTCTGATGTGGCCAAGCTACCTCCATTCATCTTCAAGGTAACCATACTTTCTTTCATATTTTTGTTGGCTTGCACGTAGGCATAAAACCTTTTGAGGTTATGCTTGATGTGTTATGCCACTTTCCTCTCTTAGATATACTTTCCTTCTGGATGTAGATCCTGTGCCTTATTCCGAACCTTCTTGTATTGACGCCATGCCTAATGCGTGCCATAGAGTCGATAATTTGCCCAACATCGTCGGCGTGTTTTAAGTGCCGTATGTACCTTGGACTGCCACCACACTAGCCTGTGGTTTCCACGCCTGGGACGTAAAGGAGCAAACTCGTCCATGAGTTCGCATATACCTACTTGGATCTTATGTCATCGCTTTTCCACTGTGAGCTCCGGGGATTCTGGTGTCCATATGACCTGCTCCGCTGCTTCACGCAAGGCCACCTCATTTATACGACTATAGCATTGTACCAGTGAGGCTTCTGTCTTTCTGTGCTTTTCCGTGAGCAGGAATCTCAACACCAGATAATCACTTTTGCCCAGTGGTTCTTCTAGCTTTATTTCGCTTATATCCGACGCGTATCTTGTTATGACTAGGTCCAAGATCGACCGCCTTTGTTGGTCTCTAAGTCTTGTGGCCTGCGTAACATGTGTTAACGCGTGTGAGTGTATCCATTCTATTGGAGTTTCACCTGTAGACCCACTCGTTGCATGCGCTTTCATCCAGTCGATCTCCGGGAGGTTGAAGCCTTCAGCTATTAGAACCCTTTGAGACTTCAAAAGGAACACTTGCATAATCTCAATAAGCTCAGTGTCCTCTATCGATGTTGCTTGTGGGGCTCTGTACACACACAATAGACTGAGTGGTCTTCTATCTAAGCGCACGTTGCATGCTATGGCCTTGATATTAGGTGTGGCTAGGCTGGCATGTGCATTCCAATGGTTCATTTTATTCTTGACCAATATCAACACTCCTAATCCTTGTCTGCCATCCTCTTAATCCCGCCCGTAGACTGCATAGTTATTAGGGCATTTCGTGAGGTGCTCTTTCTGCATCCATGTTTCTGTGATTGCAATGATCACGGAACCTTGGATTCGATCCTCCAGTTCGTGCCACTTAGCTCTAGTACTACAGGCATTTTGTGTACCACACGTTGGCAGCCTCTGCCTCATTATGGTGGTGAGCCTGCCTTAATTTCGGCGAATCCTCGGTCGTAGGGCCCGAGAAACCGCCTCCTTTTTTGAATTATTTGCTTCCGTGGACTTCATCACTGTCCAAGTCATGCCCCGTGATGAGCTCATGATCTTCCCAAAAGCTCACCTTGGGCTTTTAAATGTAAACTCAATGTATTTCATGTTGTGTTTTTGAAAATCCTTCCAAACCCATGATGATTTATGGTGACAACTCTATCTTTGTGTTGCCTCTCTGTTGAAATTTCTCAATCACAAACAGCATACATCATTCTTTATCTGTTAATTCGATGCCGGACACATTGAAATTTGGCGTGATCAGAGAACGTGAGCGACTGTTTGGCTCTATCTAGACATCACGTTTGGCTCGCTTGCTTGAGTGATTTTGGCCGCGTATTTGAGAGTTGCTTTATTGTACATTTTGTGATGATTTCGCTAATTCAGTACCGTAGAACATTACGCATCAATCGTGTTTTATTTTGGGATTCGTATTGGTTTCAGCTACTCATCACTCAAGTGCGAATTGGTTGAAGTACAACCAGTCCTACATCAAAGCGACCAACACCTAAATAAGGTAAATAATATAAACCAGACAATCCGTTAACGGTGAAGCCTCGAAGCCTATTATTACTTGTTCACGGAAGTCAGTTTGTTTTTGTGTTTCGATCGACCAACTCCTGCAGGAGGATAAGTGGGCTTCCTGGATGTCTCTAATGATGGCGGTCCATGTATGACGATCCGTAGGAAGGTTGACGCAGTGTGAAACCCAGTTCTGGTTCCAGTTGCGAATTCCATATACGAATTGAAGACCCAGTAATTCTAAGTCCGCATTGATCGTACTACTCCAGGTCTTCAACTCACCACCGAGTCTGCAACGCCATCCACGGCATGGTGCGGGGGCTACAGCCTGTCACGAAAGTTAAGTGTCGGGTCTTTGGAGCACATGGCCAAACCACTGAAGGCGCTGGCGTTGTAGCATTTTTGAAAGATTGTCAATGTTTAAGCAGTGCCGTCGAACCCCATCATTGTTAATCCGATCTCTCCAGTATCCTTTCAAGATACGGCGTAAGCACCAATGATCAAATACTTTGAGCTCCCTTATATCTTGTACTCTTAATGGCCAGGTTTCACAAGAATAAGTAAGGATCGGGTGGATAGAAGTCTGGTAAACCCGAAGCTTAGCGCTTAAGCTCATTTTGCATCGATTCCATAACGGTTTGAGAAGTTGTAGGAAGGCTCTTCTAGCTCCATCTACACGGAGCTGGATTTCATCCTTAGCCTGGCCGTTTGGTCTCATCTTAGAGCCAAGATACTTAAAAACTTTGGTTGATTCGACAGGCTCCCCGTTAATCGAGGGGGGTTGTGTCATGGTAGAAGTTTTGGTCGAAAACCTGTTCGTTTTCGACGTGTTGATCTCCAGCTCAATAGACTGAGCAAACAGACTTATACGACTGACAACAGACTGGAGGTTGCCTATGCTGTCTCCAAGTACGACGACATCATCCGCAAACTCGAGGTCTGCAATCCATGTATCTGGGCCAAGCTGCACTTCAGGGTAGTCGGTGAGTGCTTGTCGCATTGTTCAATCTACGGTGTAGTTGAATAACACCGGCGATAGGGGACAACCTTGCCGAACTCCGGAGCTTAGGGTGAACTCAGCCGATTCTTCCGCATAAGTACGAACGCATGCCCGGGTTCCTGAGTAGTATGACTTTAAAAGCCTGATGAACTTCTCAGGCATCCTATCGGACTACAATATGCACCACAAGGATTCTCTATCGACAGAGTCAAACGCAGCGCGGAATTCAATGAAACATGCAGTAGTAGGCTGTTGGAACTTGTAGCGGTGTTCCAGAATTCTACGGAGAATAAAGATTTGTTCAACACAGCCTATTCCTCGGCTAAACCCCCCTTGGTTCGGGCGAGTGTGGTTATCCCTGAGAACTGCGGAGCGATTAAGCAGAATCACTGCAAACAACTTGGCTGCAATATTAATCAGGCTAATACCCCTGTGATTTTCGCATCTATATCTATCACCCTTTTTGGGACCGGGATTAAATTGAAGCCGTCCAGTCTTTTGGACAAGCTTCCCTTTCCCGAATGGTATGGAAAAGAGAGTGCAGCGGATCGATCAAAGTGGGTAAGCAAGCTTTGAGTAACTCCGGTGAAATCCCGTCTTCTCCAGGGGCCTTCCAGTCTTTCAGAGAAGTGACTGCACTGATGATTTCTGTCGTGCTAGGTGGGTCATAATTGACGTCGTAAGTTTCCGAACTGTTTGACATCTGTAGAGAGCCAGATTGGTTTGATGGTCGGTTGAGCAGCCCGTCGAAGTGTTCAACCCACCTTTGCATTTTTTGCTGTGTTCCGTGAATAAGTTGGCCTGTTGTGCTGCGCAACAGTGGTTCTGAAGTCAGTCTCTTTCCTGCGGCGACACGAATTAGACGAAATAGCTTTCCAAGGTCCGCTGCGACGGTTGCAGCCTCCATGCTGTCTGCAATCGCCTTTCAGTATTGTTTACGGTCACTCTTGGCGGAATGTGTGGCCTGACGACGGAGAATACAAAATTCAGGGGAATTGATCAGCTGCGTATCTCTTGCCTCTCGGCCCGTAGCCACGGAACTGTCTACGGATAGCACAGCTGAGTGCTACCGAGAGCGTCTCAAGGTCACGGATAAGGGAGCGGCCAACTTGATGGTTAACCGCGAATAGGCGAAACAACCTCACTGAATAATCAGTCGCGGACAATCAGCGGCGATGCTAGAGGACGTGGGGGGTTTTCGGCTGGCAACAGATATCTGGTAAAATGCCATCGGTGTCTGCTGACAGCATCGTCACGTGTGCGAATGGGGCCCGCCACCAAATAACACCATTGCCACTTGCCTACTCTTACGAGTAGGACAAACTGAGGAATGCTATCTCACGGACACGTTGGGAATCCTGGATTGGCGCAGAGCCATCCGAAAGGCGTATGAACCGTTCTAACGGTCACCGGCTACCAACAGTTCTACCCTGATACCCTGCAGGTTGCACTTGGTTGTGCAAGGGCTAGAGGTGCACCCTCAAAAAAAGCCGAGCGACGCCGGAGACGTTACTTAGTACCTCATTCCCAAGTTTCTTCATGGGTCGTCTTAAAATGGTACGTCACGTTCATGCTACGGCGTTCCCGGGAAGCGACGCGCCCTGTGCTCTCCCAGTGGCTGGAGTGACACATGAGCAAGCTGGGAACCCAAATCATCTACGCACCGAATCCCGCATCCATGTGGCCTGCTGGAATGTTAGAACATTGTTAGACACAGGAAGCCAGTGTATCACGATGCGATCACTGCACGACTACAAGGTAGACATCTGTTGTCTGTCCGAAGTCCGACTACTTAACTGTGGCACAAAACTAATAAACGTACAACATAGCAACGCAAACTACCGGTTATACCACAAGGGCCCAACTGACAACTCCGGTTTGCACGGAGTAGTAAGCGCCGTGAGCGGCCGGGCCAACAATGCCATGATTTCATGGGAACCAATCTCTCCCAGAATTGCCATAGTGCGCTTCAGAGGGAAGCCGTTTAACCTGACTGTCATCGCTGTATATGCTCCAACGTTACATGCGAAAGAGCCCATCAAGGACGACTTCTACAACCAAGTTCAAGACGCAGTGAATCGCAGTCCGAGACGCGACATCCTCGTTATCGCAGAGGACTGGAACGCACGCACTGGTCCGTCAGACGAACTTACTCAGCATGTTCTTGGAAAGTTAGGCCTTGTTCAACGTTGCGAAAATGACAAACGCCTAGTTACATTTGCTGACCCTAATCGACTGGTCGTGACGAACACCTATTTACAGCACCCCGGAAAACACCTGCTCATGTGGTACTCAAATGATGGTAGAACAGCACACCAGATTGATTATATATTGGCACGTGCTCGGTGGGCCTCTTCGACAGAAGACTTCCGTTCCTATCGCGGCGCAGAAACTGGAAACAGGAATAGTGCAGACCATACCCTTGTACGCCCCCATTTCAAGATTTACCTGACTCGTCTCCCAGGCAAATTCAACGTCACGCTCTTGGAACGACCTGAGAGAAGGCAGGCGATGCTAAACGCAACCGCTTCCAACATAGCTGAAACTTGCTTTGATGACTCAACTGTCGACGCACAGTGGTCTACACTGAAGACGTCCATCAGAGAAGCAGCGCTGGAGCAGTTAGGTGAGATTCTTCGCCGCAAGAGAGACTGGATCTCTGAGCGTAGACTGCAGTTGTCCACGGAAGTCAGTCCGTCTGTATTGTTCCTTCAAAATGTTTGTAATCCATTTATCGTCCTACTGTAACCCTTTGCACTTCCTTGGCTCGATCGCAGCTCTTCTTCTGAAATTCTGAAGCGTTCACGTTCCCTATCCTCCTTCTGTTCCTCCAACTCGTTTCCGCGCATTACCTCCCGAGCACATATTTCCAACTCCAGTTCTGTGTCTTCCTCAATGTTCTTTATAAGGCAATCGTTTACACTGATTTGCTTTCTATAAGAGATCACCCCCAGTATTCCATTATATAACCTTGTTCGCTTTGTGTTTCTTTTTCACCGCAATGCATTGTTACGATGTCTTTTGTATTCGTTTGAAAATTCCGTTCTTACCCTCTGTGTACAACTAATTTTTGTCTGGATCGTCATTTTTTACATTGTTGTACATTTGTTCATGCGCACTAGCATGCTTTACGGGTTTCGTGAAATATACCGTTATCATTATTATTATAAATTGATGTATTTTTTACGAAGTCCGTAGAGCATGTGCAAAGCGTGATCATTTATACAATCTAATCATATGCATAACAACATTGTAAGCATATCGAGGGCCACTTAGCACAGATACACAGTAGAGAAGGTAAGGGAGTGGTACGAAAACTGCAGTGCAAACGGCTCACAAAGCGGACAAGGTCGCAAAGGTAATCGAAGAGGATGGAAGAATGCATTACGTGAGCATGTCAATGGAAATTGAAGAAACAGGAAACTTTATATCAAGAAAGCGGTGAGAGGTTTAGACGTGCGACGTTCGTGGTAGAAAATACGGATTGACGGTCAGTGATTCAGTAGACGGAAAAGACGGTTACATGCAGATATATCTGATGTATCTACAAGAATGAATAGAAGAGAGAAGTAACGATAATAATGAGTTCATACATTACGAGTCTCCTTCCATGACTGCCTGCTACGGTGAAACCAGACCTCTATCTGAAATTCGGAGGCTGTCGAAGCGCGTCAAGAACACTACAGTTCGATCGCACAAGAAACTGGAAGAGCGTTTGGCATCAGCCATTAGTCTTTTAACCTGAGACCCAAACTGATCAATTTCGGGCATTTAGACCTTTCCAAAAATGCCACAACGTGCCAACATCACACTGGAGAAGGAGAGGACCATGATAGGAAACTCATTGTGCCGCCTGGACTACAGTTCAAAATTGCTTCAGCGTCTTCTACACGAGACTTAGGAGTGCGCCTGACCTTGGACTTCTTCCCCACGTTGTAGTGTCGACATGCTCTGAAGAAAACATCTGAAGCCCTGCGTCAACTCCAACGTGCACTAGAGTACAAGAGGAAGGAGGTCCTTCTACCACTCTATAAAGCCTTTGTACGTTCACAGTTTGATTATTGCGTTCAGGCGTGGAGTCCATTATTGGTCAGAAATGCCAAAGCGCTAGCGGAGTTTCAAAGGCGCTTTACAAGGTGGTTTGGAGGAATAAGAGAGCTCTCGCATGAAAGAAGACTGGAGGCGCTGCACCTATTCTCATTGGAGAGACGGAGGCGGGGAGGTAACCCCATAGAGGCTCTCAAGATCCCTAAAGGAATCACAGACCGTGGGTGGTTCCCAGAGGCTGTTGAAACTAAGCAAAACCACCCCACTCCGAGGGCATGCGTTGAAACGGACAAAGGATAGGGTAAATTATCAACAGAGGGTGGCATCCTTTCTGGTTTGAGTCGTGAATGATTAGAACAAACTACCAAACAAAGCCATAGCAGCCACCTCAGTGGTTAAATTCAAAAACTGCTTCGACAAATTACGGGGTAGTTTGATCATCGGAGCAGAGTAAACGTGCTACGTTTCTGAAGCCGGTCTTCCGCCCCGCCTCTCTTCATTCCAAATGCCCTCTTACCCCCCTTGCGTTCTTGTCCTCTCTTCACCTTTTCGCCAACCCCTAGAAAGTTCTTTCAGACTTAGAATCTTTCATCTTTACGAGCTTCAAGTTTCTAGGTGCGACCCTCCCATCGGAGGGATCAATGTGCGACCCAGGACTGTAACTCCGGAATAAATCAACGAGGAACGCGTAGCCGAAATTGGATCCAAAAGCGTCAACAAAACGAACGATCCGGCAAATTTCTACGGTACTGCATTATTAAACGATCGAATAAGCAAATAAAAACTGTACAAACCTCAAAAGGATCTCAAAACAACTTGAAAACAAGAGCCAAGTGTTACTGTGAGCGTAATTCAACAAATCTGAATGGAAGAAAACGAGCCTGGGTAAGAATAGCACGCTCACCGTCACGCTGCATCTGAACGAACCAAATGTGAGCGCTCAAGTCGCGAATAAAACAAAAAGCAGATAAACAAACAGAGTCAAATGATAGGATTGATGTGTAAATATACAAGGGGAGTGGAACGTCAAATGTCTATATGTATATGAAGCGGATGGTGTTTGGTGAATGGAACGTAAAATTCACGAAATGTGGAACCGAGGTGGAATGACTGGGCTTTACAAGAAGGATTTTCACAGATCGATCAATACAAGGATTCCACAAGCACCCTCGGGAACNTTCTCTCTTATTTACCCCTCTACGTGTATTCCATTGAAGATCAATCCTTTCATCTTACTAATACAGCACCGGGAGGTCCTTGAAGCTCAGCAGTGCAAGTAACTGGACGACCTAGGATACGTCCTGGGTCCCTAAGTGAACTGAAATGACAGGCGAACTGACATGCAAAAATTATCTTCACCAAAACAGCGCGCCTGAAATCCAGGCTAATCTATAGCTACGTGCAACCGAAGGCTGCACTAATACAATTGGTAAACACGGAGAACCCCGGAAAGGGGCTGTCGGCTTCAGATTCCAAAAAAAAGTGAGACGCTCAGGAGGTACTTTTAAAACGTTTACAAAGAAGACCACGGGAGTGTGGTGCAACGAGGGTGTCTAAACATCCCTCCAACGGGCGACGTGAAAGTTTCAGCAAGCCTCTCTGTTCCCTGTTTACCAGAGACTCACTATTTAATTTTCAAAAATCTTACTCAAAATCTGTTTATTTAATCTTTATGTCAGTTTAATTTAGGGACCCTGTTTGAGCCATTCAGCTAAAATCGTGTCGCTGCTATCTAGACCAAACTTTTCGTTATAAAGATCATATCCTTTATCTCTAAAGCTGCTCATTTTCAGCAGGTATTTGGCAATACCTCTTCATCGTCTTATGTTTTATCTCTGGTTCACCGACTGTTCTCAAACTCCAGTCAAGTTATCACTAGCTTTTCTATTCCCAATTTAGCTTCCTCTGCCTCCTCTTCTCAACTATTGTCTTTTATCATCACGAAGGTAACCCAAAATCTCTATTTTCGTCTTCGTATCAATTTAAACTTTATGACTCCGTGGACACTTGAGGCCCAAATGGTGTTATTACTATCCAGGCTTAAATGGTCCTTGTAAAGCGTTATCTGTTTTGCCTAACGCTTTGATCCTTACGTAAGCTTAAGTTTTGTTTTCATACATATATTCATTTATAGATAGATTACTCGTAGTATTTGCTCCTGTTACTGTTTAGGTAGTTGTACAATTGCAAAATACTTTGCATAAATAGATTTATAATCTACCGGTGTCCTCAACCAAGTTTGACCTATCATTTCACCTTGCTTCTATACTTATGGACTGGTCTTTCACCTGGACCTGACATGGACCGTGCGGTTTGAAATTTCAAAGTGTTGCCTCCATTGGTAAACTTAGACTTTGTTCCCACTAATTAACGCGTTTATCCGAAATTTAAAAGCCCTATTCTCGGGATTACCTTCTGTCCATTCACGCGAGATTCCCTCCGTGCTCAACCTAATGCTTTTGTCTGTCTGGCGCGTATGATCGTTTTATATCATCTGATTAACCCCATCAGAGTTTTAACTCTAACAGTTAGCGCGGGTAATTTGAATACGAGGAACCTAGCGTTCGTATGATGGTCACGTACGAAAAACAGACGGCCAACCTGAGGAGGCGGGCCGGCGAGTACGGCCGCTTTTACTCGCCGGC